TTAAATGTACCTACTTGTTACTACCTACTTCAGCAAACGGAGCGAAGTAGCATCCTGTCTGTAGGAGAGCTGAGGCTAAAAAAGTGCGCAATTATCCATTATGAAGTCTCACTAAGAGAAGGTTATAGTTTAAACTAGAAAGGTTTCAGTTCTCGAAATGTGAGTTTAGGTTCCGAGTTAGCTGCGTCATCAGCGTTACGCTAGCCATGCAAGATGGATTGATCTAGAAATGACGCAGTCCAGAAAAGTTATTATTACGATTTCTAGAATAGGAAGGGGGAATTAGTGGGTTACCGCTTATTATTTTTTTTTATCTTACACACACACACACACACACACACATATATATATATAGTATATAATACATGTAATAGATTCTGTAGTAGAACGCAGACGTTTGAATCCATAATGAACAGCGAGAATTTTGATGGCTTAGAGATGTTAAAACTCCAATCCACAATGAATAAGAAATTTAGCAGTCAAGGCAGATTTAATTCAACTTTTACTTCAGCAAACATTTTGCGGCCCCAAAAACGTTGGCACATTATTTATGCCTATCACAAAAGTTTATACTTTTGATAAATTTGGCAGTAAGAAAGAAGGAGTAGACAAAATGCAGTGCAGCTAGGCCAAAGCGTAGAAAGCAAGTGCGTGATGTTCAGGGTGAAATCTTAATTCAGACTGAGTTAGTTTTGGTTCTCAATGCATTTTGATTGGATAATTAATACTGCTGTAAAATTACTATTGGCTGTTTGAGTTTTAGTTCCATTTACATCATCAGATTTATGTAAGAGTCTTATGACATGGATTAGTCTCGAAATGACGCAGTGCAATTAGAGGTTACTATTTTTAGAATGGAGAAGGGAAATTAATTTACGCTGCTAATGTAATCTTTTACATAGTCTTTATTTTTCTTGTATACACACACACACACACACATATATATATATATATATAATAGGAAAAATTCTAGTGAGCTCATATATATATTATTTTAAGCATATTTTGGTGAAATTATTCTTCCACTTCCCGTCTTGAAAAAAAAATGGAACCGATGTTTTGGATTCGAAATAAAAAGAATCTCTGTTGAAAATCTTTCAAAATATGAGCAAAATTTCATTATTAGAATTATTATATGATTTTAATGAATTAATTTTAAATTTAATTTTAAATTAAAAACGCGTTTAAATTAAACAAAATTACAAAATACTCAGAAACTTGAATGCATTTGAGAATGAAATGAATAATTCGAACAATAACAAATTTCGAAATTAAAATGAATAATTAAAGAACCCTTTTTTAAAATTTATAATTAACTTTTGGCTTAAAAGATTTTTCATTTTGACAAACAATTTATTTCCTTGGATCGTATTGCATTTTGTAAAATTCTGAAAACACTCTTAACAATAAACTACATTAAACTTACGTAATTAATTCTTTTTAATGCATTATACTTATATAAAAAATGTTGGATTCATTGTCAAATTATAAAATTGTTTTATGTAGCTGCTGTTAGCCTGAATATTTGAGCAAAACTTGAATCTTGTTTTTACTTTAGTTTATTCATCTTCTTAACGCTTAATATCTTTAACGTCGTCACACCATTAATCGCTTGATGGCTCATTCATTGCTGTTACAAAGCATGTCGAGATTGCATGTTAAGGCGGAAATACGTCAAGCTTGTAGTGCATATCAAACTTTGCTAAACAAAGCGAGTCTAGTGTTTGAGCGGAAGAACTTTAAACAAAAAGGATTGCTTTTAACATCGTACATCGAAAAGACAAATTTAAAATTATTCCTTAAAACTTACACTGATTTTTTTCCAGAAACAAAATAAATTTCTTAATTTTCACATTCAGGTATTTTTTTTACTTTAAATGCTTTACGAAGTATCATTTAATGTTTTTGAAAGTAATTTATTCGAAATATTTCTTGTCCTTGCGTAATCAGTTTTCTTACTTTAATTAGGCTCTTTATATGTATTTGAAAAGATTACATAATAATTACATAAAACCAAAAAAAAAAAAAAAACGATAGTTCATAAACCTTGGGTTTTAAGGGCTGGTCGCATGTATTTTTTTTCCGTTGCGTAAACCAATTTTTTTTTCTAATTACCTTTATACTGCATTTTTTATGGAAAACTACAAATACTTATTTTAAAAATACTTATTAAATAATGACTGTTAATAGCAAATTTACTTAAATCAATAATTATGTTAACTGCTGCTATAGATAGTTATAATTTCTACTCATTTTTAAATCTTGAATGCTTGTTCTCGTCTCGATTTTTCAGTTAAATATCATAAGCCGATTAAAAAAACCTGAAATAATATGAATAAAGATATTTCTCATTTTTTCGTACTCAATAATTACATATTAAAACAGCAGACATAAATTCGAAACTTTTAAAATCTGAAAACTCATGTCTATGATGTTATCGTCAGATGATATTCTGTAATTACCTCCTTTTTTAATACGCTTTTTGTGTGGTGATGATTTAAAATAGCTAAGTTTTGCCGCTGACTTTTTCTTTTGCCCTACCATGATGTTTTCTTCTTGCTTTCTTCTATAACGCGTCGTCTTTTTACTTTCATATTTTCCCTTTCCGTTCTTTTCTCCGCCTCATTTTATTCCATGATGTAGGTGAACAGGAACGTGATTATGAAAAAAATTACACCACATCCAAAAGAAGACTTTATTAGCTATTACAGATTCCTCTAGAACTACATCGAGAATTTCTCTACAAGCGTTAGCAGGTGTGCTGCATATTAACTTAAAGACAAGCATGATTTCAATGAAAAAATAGAAATTGAGTAACCTATTTCAAAATGAACTGCTTACACTGTAGGATTTTATTTTTTAACCAGTTACCTAATTGTTTTTGCTATTCTATTCTTTTACTTTTCATCAACTTCCACTACAATGTAAATTGATTTGAAGTAATTATCAGAGACGAGATTCTGAGTTTAGGGCAGAGTGGTTTAAGAGCTTAAGCTGGCCCTTTTACTCTTACTTTTATTTGCACTAATTTGCCAGAAAGATTGATTTGCCTTGATTATACTAGCTTAATTGCTCAGAGGCAGCGAAAATTTAATTCAGCGTCCAGCACCTACATCTGTACGGAATCTAGAATCCGAGCAGTTCAGTCAACAGCAGAAGTCTTCTTGAGACACTGAAGGCTAAGAATGAAGATTCAGTCGCGAAAACCAAAAGCAGCGCACTTACGATGTTAATGCATCCAACTTTCCTTTAAAATTTGTGCTGAGGAGCTTGTTATTATAACCACAGGATAGTATAAATTTATTTGTTGCTAGTTTCATTTTATGTACTCATTAGGTAGGCAAGTTAATGAATAAATTATTTTGACTTTACTGTGGCTGTGATATTTCTAAGAAGATCGAACGGAACAAAAATTTGTCTGATAGTCTTTTGGGGTTACTTTTATTAGCTGATACTTTAAATTTAATAGCAGAACCGCATAACCCAACAAAAGCAATAATACATGAACGTACCGAGGAATACCTGGTATGGAAGGCTACAGAAATTTATACCGATGTATTAAAGATCCCAAAGAGAACTGGGGCGGCGTTTGTCCTATAGAAACAAAGATGATGTATGATGGAGATCATATGAAAATGCGACATTTAAGTTCAATGATATAGCGATCGGATTCCAAGCCGAGTTATTTGCAGTAATGAAAACTGAAGACTAGGTATCAACAAAATTCGATTCATATATTAAAATTAGTGAATAAGTCTATATAGCGATATCCAAGAGTGTTCTAAAAATGTATTCGAAAATGTATGCAATTAGGTTGCACAAAAATGACTAATAATTTAACATTCAATGAAGTCCTGGATCTTCTTAAAATGAAAACTTCAGTTAAAGTAGTCATGATGAAACTATAACGTATCCATCTATTTACTTTGCTTATTAGAATTTAATGTATTTAACTGTTTCCACAATAAACCAATTTTTTATGATTTCTCGATGAATATCTTCAACACGAGAAAGCTAGTGAGGCGTTTCTAGACTAGAAGCGTAAGAGCATCACCACTTATTAATTCAAAAGTTTCAGCAGGGAAAAAAATTTAAAAAATCACGAAAAGTTTGCGCACAGGCAGCGGATTTTCTAGCTACCTTTATCAGCAGAAATTAGCATCAAGTGCACTACTCCTAGATTCTCGAAGTGAAGCAAACTAAAACAATGAAACAAAATCTTTGCCACAGTGCTGTGCTCCTGAGGTTTGTTTCCTTTTTTTCCTAAATTTTTTGTTGTCCTAAATTTGGATACCTGCTGCTCGTTAAGAGTGTTATCGATAGCATCGGAAAAACGGATATACCTATCTGCTTAACAAATTATTTAGTCAATGGAGATGGAAAATATTCCTGACACCTTCTAAGAATTTTCGGATACAATGTGAAATGCAGCTGTGGCAGGATGGATAAAAACCTTATACGTGTCATTACACGGATACACATGTATACACACGGATCTTGACAGCTTTTCAAAGTTTAAGAAAAAAGATATTTTGCACGAGTAAACAAAGATTTGTATCATATAACCTATTGCAGAGAAAATATTGGCAAAAATTACTCTCAATATTGAAAAAGAACAAAAATGAAAATAAATTTTTCATTTCATTTTCTCTTACTGGTAATCTCGGATTCAACTTCAAATACCTCCACAGTAATTACTTTGTCCAACTAGAGCCTAAGAGCACGTAACATCATTTCCTTTCTTAATCTTTTCTTTTCTTTTAAATTTCTTCAGTGAATCACATGGAAGAGAAGTTCCCATGTCGTGGACATGACTGAGTGCTAAAGCGTCCCCTTTGCATGCGAAAGAGACCGACTTCGATTCAATCTACCTCGGCTCTACATCCGTATGCAAGTTAAAAATAAACACGCGATGAACTTTCTTTTCACTCTTTTTTTACCTAAATTTCAGCAGACCTTTTCAAGTGAGAATAGAATACGCGGCGGAAGTGCAAGTAGGTAGTAAAACGCTCGCTTTGCCCGCGAAGTGCTCGAGATTCGATTCCCCGCACCCCTAGTTAACATTATATTATATACCCATGTGAAAGTTGATTTTTCTTTTCACTCTTTTTTCCAAAATTTCTGCAGTTCAAGTAAAAATAGAATGTAAGTCGGGGCTGTAGCTCAGTGCTAGAACGTTCGTTTCGCATGCGAAAAACCCGACGTTTGATTCCCTGCACTTCCAAACAACATTCTCCATTCGCGTGCAAGTTAATAAGATGTTATGTGTTTTTTATTTTGTTCTTTTTTTTCCAAAATTTCTGCAGTATTTTACAAGTAAGAAAAAAAGGCACATCGCAGGTTTAGCTCAGTGGTAGAGTGTTCACTTTGCATGCAAAAACCTCGGAGTTCGAATTCCTGCATTTCCAGTCTGCATTCGTGTGCGAGTTAGTAAGATGCTATGTGCTTTTGTTCCTGTCTTTGTTTTCGAAATTTCTCCAATGTTTTACAGGTAAGAATAGGTTCATTCGTGTGAAAATTAAAAAGATTCTGTAACCTTTCCTTTTGCTCTTTTTTTCTCCTTTAATTTTTTTGCACTTTATTACGGTTAATTCTAGCATATTTGAGGGAGGGTAGGTGTATATCAAGAGCAGATCGTTCGCTTTATATGCGAAAAGCTGGGGATTCTATTCCCCGTACCTCCTGTCGACATCTGTGTACAAGTTAAAAGGACATCACCTTTTTTAATTTTACACTGTCCTTAACTTTTGAATTGTATTATAGATAACCATACTTGGCAGAGTTATGGGTATGTGGTATAATGCTGGTGTTGTATGCGAAAATGCTCGAAGTTTTCTATTCCCCTTATCTATGTACACGTGCCATTTTTAAAAGACATCTTATCTTTTTGTTCATATTTTTTACACTTAATTTCTGCAGCGCATTATCAGGAAGGCTAGCAAGCACACTCTTCAGAATTGTAGAACATTCGCTCTGCGTTCGAAAAATCTGGCGTTCGTTTTCTAGTACCTCAAGACTGCTTTTGAAATTTATCTGCAACAGAAGAAAAAGCGGTGTACATTTTCTTTTCTTCCTTTCTTATTTCATGGGAGGTTTCTTCCTATGCAGCCTTTTTACTTCTTCAAAATAGGTGGAAATGTAACTGTCACGCGAAGCTACTTGTATTTAGTTACCAAATTTTCAATGTCCGATTTGCTGAACCATAGTTCTGAGCCGTACTTTCACAGATGTGTTCCGTTTGGATGTTACCACTTAAAAACTCAAATACTGGAAAGATAAACTTTACACAGATGTTTATTGAATTCTATGCATTAAATCTCGATGTTATTTGAAGCAATGTTCTACCTAAGGAACTGCATGTCTTTTGCGGCAGCATAGCAGTAATGTCAATCTGTATCTACACGCGCAGCATCCGGCCACGAAGCAATTTTACACGGCTAGAGAATACATTTTACGTAGTTATGTTGCAAATATGGTGCTTATACTTTTAGAGAATTATATTTATGAACAAAAGCAAAAGAGATAGAATGAATAGGCTGGGGTTTTGCTGCTGTATGATTATATTCCAGACCACTTAACTAAGGTAAAGTGGTAAAATCTTCACGTTGGTTGCATTAGATGCTAAATTTAGTCTCTAGCCGACAGTTAGTGGAGCTTAAGTTTTCAGTGTTTTTTACTATTTTTTAATACTTATTGAGATGATATTTCTTATGCATCTTTTATTTGTGCCAGCCACTAATTAGCTGGATGTACTGCTGCCCAGTTCATCATGCAGTAGAAATGGCGACAAACAAATGTACGGCTTATAAAACCTGTTTATTTATGCACGTCGTTAGATCTACATTATATCAGTACTGATCGTTTAACACTATGCATGCATTTTGAGTGTTGCTTTCATACGAAAATTCGGTTTGTTGAATTAAGTGGCAAATAAAACTACAATAGTGATTTTGATTACGAGATTAAGCTACTAATCACGTCTTTACCAAAAGGTTAAAAGAAAACGGACGAAGAAGGATGTGTTTTTCAAAATAAATAGTAAAATTACGTATTTTTGAGGTGTTGGGCGCAATAAAATTGCATGTTTTATTCGTAATAAAGAAATAACAGTTCCAAAGGAATGAAATTAACGTCGCGATTACGAGACGAATCATAAAGAAAAATTTTAAATATGGGAAGGTAAATTGAAAAAAAAAGTTATGATTTTTAAAATAAGGCGTATAACGACAAATATTTTTTACTTTAATTTATTTATTTTTAATTAAGCAAATAATTCCAGTTAAGCAATGAAGAGCAGTTCACGTAAGTTTTGCCCACACAAATCACTGCAAAGCGGTGTAAGTCTTTAATTATGATATTTCCGTGAAAACTGTTTCATTAAACAGTTTCGTGAAAACTGCTGAAATTTTTTGACCCGACCAACAATTAGTTTAAAATATTAATTTTTCAAACTACACAGTAGACTAGTAGAGGAATGTATTAATGAAATCCCTAGCGATCTACAATTTCAATTAGAAGAAAAAAGCTAATAGATCTTTGCAGTTGTTAATGAAAGTAATTGCTTTACTGATATGCACAGTTTGCCATTGTTATATGACGTGTTACGGATGAAGTTGAAGTAATTCAGGAATTACTGGAAATATTTTCGATGAAAGAGAAAAGTGCACAATATATTCATTAATTTAGGATAAAATGTTTGGATGTACGAATGATGGTGCAGCTGTGATGGTTTGTAAAACTGGAGTAACAGGAAGATTACGAAACAGCATGAAAAAAACAATTTCAAAATAATTTTTGCGTTAGACATTGCATTATTCACCAGGAAGTAATCTGTGATGAAACCCTGCAGATGAATAATGTTATGGAAGCGGTAAATAAAAGAATAAACTTTATCAGTAGACGAGCTCTGAATCGTCGGGAGTTAGATGCATTGCTGAAAACAAACTGAAAGTGAGTATGCAGGAATGATTTATTTTATCGAGGTGAGACGGTTAAGGCAACAAGATGACTCAAAATATAAAACAACTGACGAGCTACATAAGAATAAATAGACAATTGAATTAACTTTTTTTTTTTTGACTTAACTGGGCATTTCAACAGGTTGTTCTCATTAAAGATCTGCAGAGAAAGGATAAACTTATCATTGACAAGTATGCATGTATTAATGCTTTTAAAATTAAACTGCAGCCGCGCGAAAAACAACTGGAATAAAAATATTCCGTACATTTCCTACATCCTAAATGATACCCTCTTACTTAAAATGATAAATTTCAAGAAAAGGCAAGAAAACTGCATAATTACAAGCAGAATTCAGTAATGATTTTAACATTTTAATGATATGAAGTCCGATTCTTAACAAACGAATGAGAATAATGCACCAGAAGCTGATTAATTTAGAGTGTGATATAAATCTTTTCTGAAACTTCAGTCAGTTACTGTGATGACGCTAGGGCCTAAACCTGGACTACAACAAGGATGGATGTAACAGACATCTCACTCGCTTACACATTGTAAAGAACGCTCCTGAACTCTCTACTAGAAAGATCTACGATGCTCTCGATTAGAGATCACACTACGAGGACTATAATTTATTTTTAATTCATATTTTAAAGAACTGTGAATGGCAACGACTTAACTGAGAATTACGCATGCGTAAAGAGATGAGATTTCTGTGAGACGCCTGTCGGAGAGAGTTTCTGAGGTGTGGAGACTTTGTTCGTCGAGTGATGACGAGTGCCATCTTTGTTAACGTCTCTGATCGTGTCACCAGCTCGGATATCTACTATAGTTTTCTAAATGTATTAATTAAATGTAGTATCTGTGTTATGTTGTGTGAATAAAAATGATGCATCACCACTACCAGTGTTGATTCCGTTCCCACTGAAGCATCCACGACGTCACAGACGAAGAAAATAAAAGTTGGAGGTTCCACCGAGATATGTGTGACAAGAGACCAGGTATGTGTTCTCCACAATATTCATTTCCAGGCCTGAAGTGTTTCGGGAAATCAATTCCCAAAGCAGAAGTAGCACGTCAGTGCATACGAGTTTAAACACTCAATGTGTTTGTTTTATATATCTACAAGATATTTTCCTTTTGTGGTATATTCGGGAAAACATTTTCCCATTAACACGAAACACATCAGTGCATTTTATAGCACGTCAGTGCATAAGAGTTTTTTTTTAAACAATCAAAGTGTTGCATTTATATATCTAACGAGATATTTTTCTTTTGTATGATAATGGGAAAAAATCCATTCCCGTAAATAAACAGCACATCAGTGTATTTATGTTTAAACGTTTAGCTATAAATTCGGTGTGATAGAATCTGAACTGTATTTTTTTTGTGTATATGTGAAAGCACATCAGTGTAAATATTGCAATTTTCAGTTCTAAGTCATTAGTTACAAGAAAATTTATGTTAAATGCTTGTGAAAGAAATAAGTTGTTGAATGTATTACAAACTTGTTACTTTGGTTTTTTCATGAAAGCACATCAGTGCTGTATTTCAATATGATGTGTATTTTCTGATAAGTAGAATGTAAAATTTTATCATTTCATTTTAAATTTTAAAGCTTTGAGCAGTAACAAAATGTAATAGTGTTCTGATTTAAACCTGCTGCGCCTATCGATTCAGGTAGTATTTGCGTTGGCCATGTGGTTGCCAATGGAAGTAGCTGTTCATGAAAACGAATAGTTAATTAAAGGTGTTTATATTTATTGGCGCCACTCTGGTTTTTTTTCTGTCTGGCTGTACTGGATGAAAAGAATTTGTTATTATTTTTTTTATGCGAAATATTCAGTAAGGATGTTCATTTATTCGTTTTGTGTTTTAATGGAAATAAATTCAAAGTGATTAATGCTTTTATTAATCTTTTATTTTCATTTGCCTAATTTTATAAGAAAGAAGAAAAGTTAGTGTTTTTTATATCTCTGATATATTTTTATGTGTATTATTTGTGAATAACTATTTGAGTTATTTGTTTTGAACAATTACTTTTGTGAAAATGGCATTTCTGGGGAAAGCTAAGAAAAGGGATCTATTCCTTGTCGCTTCAGAAATTGGGGAAATAGCTTTAGAAGATATGAAAGTAATAGATCTAAAACATTTATTAACGAATAGTAAAAATTATGAGGAAGAATTTGTTAAAAATTTGTTAGAAAGTATTATGACTGATAGAATAGAAAAGGAAAACTTAGAGAAGCAAACAAGAGCAAAAGAATTACAGTTAGAACAGGAAGCTAGGGAGAGGGAATTTCAGATACTACAACAAAATAAAGAAATTGAAAAGCAAGAGTTAGAACTAGAATGCCTTAAAGCAAAACAGAACACTGAATCTGCTAAACCTGGAGGTGAAAACCGTATTTAATCAGAATTTTCAGAAACTAATGCCCAAGTTTTAATTTAAAAACTGATGATATCAGTTTATTCTTAGAACTTTTTGAGAGGCAAGCTAAAGTTTTAAAATTGCCCACGGATCAATGGGTGTCG